CAATGTGGAGCAGGCTCTTAAGGACGGGAGAACGCCGCGCCCTCCCCCCTGGTCGTCCCAGACCCACCTTGAGGATCTCATCTCCAACAATGATGATGCCCGCTGTCACGCTGCGCCCTGGGGGAGGTTCAGAGGCCCTAGATGCCATGGTCCTGACTTCTCTGCCCCTCTGCAAGGCCCTCCAGTAGCCACCCAGACCCCCAAACAGGGGTCGTAAGCAGGGGAGTCCCGCCAGGTCTAAAGGGCACTGTGGGCCATAGCCAGGGAAGAGGGGGTCCGGGGTCGAGGGAACCTGGAGGAGCCAGAAAGGACAATGGGGGAGTGCAGGCGTGCCTGGTCTTTCTTACCAGGCCCTTAACAAGCGACTGCTTTATCCCTGCCTCGTGGACGAACCCGTTCCCAGACCCCGGCCCATGCCTTTTTAAGTGTCTTCTAAGCTTGATTCTAGTCTCCTCAAAATGTCCTGCTGTCCAGAACACCTACCACTTCAAAAGTCTTCTACCCGCCGAGCTCGGCTCCTCGGGGTCTGCTCTATCTTGGGCACCTGCACCTTTAAATGTCTCTTCTCTTTGAAGCACCTGTCCCTTTAAATGTCTACTCGCTTCTGGGCCTCGGCCCCTTTAAATGCGCTCGCTCCCTCCACCCCGACCAGAACCCAGCCGCCTTCTTCTGCAGCGTCCTGCACCCTTTCTAGCCCAGAGCCCGGTGTCTCCCCACCGCGCTGCACACGATGGGCTCTCTCGGGTTCTCACCTGCCTGTGGCCCTTTCACCCGATCTTTCCCTCTCTCTTTTCCTCTTGTCCCGCGGCAGCTTCCGTACTCGGAGTCCCGCCTTAGACACAAGCCTACCTCATATTGATTGGTGATTTTGGCTGTCGCTCAGAATACCTTCCCAAGTCCATTGGTGAAGTCGACTGTCGCTCGCGAGCCTTAGCCAGCGGGCGGGAGCAATGCCGGGTTGTTATTGGTGACAACCACGTGATCAGCCTCGCCCGGAAATGTGGGGGCGGGGCTTCTTCTCTTCAGGGCCGGCCCTGGGAGATCTGGGGCGCGAAAGGAGAGGTGGGAGGTTGGAGGTTCTCTTAGGGTCTTTGGGGTGCTTCCTTCTGCTGCTGGAAGTCAGGGGAGGCTTGACTCCAACCTTCGTTCTGTATTCAAATTCGTGTGTGCATGACTGTTTTCTTTAATCCACGACTCTAATTCTTGGCTAAGATGTCAGGGGCCGCTACCGTGTCAGAAGGGGTTTTATATTGTAGCAGATAGACGTTGGAGAGACACCAAGAATAATTGTGAGCATTGCCTGAGAGGTAGGGAGACTGTGGAGGTGAGCTTGTACTGTGTGGAACTCTCATCTGTCTGTTATAAATGATAAAGCTAATACTTCAACTTCTTTGACAAGGTCGAGCCTTGCCCCACCTTGCTCGGATGGCGCTTAAACATCACTTCGTTATTGGGCTCGCAGAGACTAAGGACGTGTGTCCACTTTGGACTCACATCATCCTAACTTGCTCTCATGTCAGTTGGCTTCGGTCTAACCTTGACATTCATACTAATCATTTTGGGACCTTGGGTGGGGCCTGAGATCCGCATTCAACAAGCTCTCCTGTCTTGCTGGTGCCACCGGCCTATAGACTGTTTTCTAGACCTTTTGTAGTAAAGATCTAAAATTCATTGGTCGTTTGGAGGACTGC